GACACTCATTATTTTTATTAAAAGTGCAAAGACTGCAGTTATATCAAAATGTGGAATGGAAACCTGTGTATAAACTCTGTAAAAAATATCAGTTTTACAAAAAGAGTTTACTATACATCATACAGACATATACTGTAAATGCTTTTTGTTGTAGTAAACCCTCATAATCCTTTGCATTCCAAATAAATACAGTGCACTTAATTTTCCAAATATTCATCAACATCTATTCATCATGGAAAAAAAAGGGTACAAACACTTACTACATGCCCTTCTAATGTTTGTGTCTTTTATGAATGATTGTCCACCTCCAACATCAAACTATGGACTAAGTCCTCATCGGATGGTCCCTCTGTCATGTCACGCATACTTAGTTCCTCATCACCTTCATTTAGACACACTTCAAGAGGAAGGTAGTCATCCAGCTCTTCCTCGTCGTCTTCTAGATCAATAACTTCAATCTCCTTTGGTGTACTTCTACCACCATTGCCGCTTCCTCTCCATGGATTGATGTTCACAGGTTGCCAGCAATTGCTACTCTGGATTATATCATTATGTGATAAGGCTTTGCTGTGCTGAGTTTCAGTATCTTTTCTTCCTAGACAGTGTGATTCTATGTGGATTTCCAGATTGAAGGCATGGGCAAACCTCTTTCCACAGTTTAAGCACATGTGGGGTTTCTGAGTTACATGGACTTTCTCATGGGCTTCTAGGCTTGGAAAATCAGTGTACACCTTGCCACAATCCTTGCAGGAAAATGTTGGTGGGTGAGCCATAACATGGTTCTTGAAACTCCCCAGCTGTAGGTAAACCTTACCACATTTCTTGCACTCATAAGGCTTGTCGTTGGCATGGACTTTGTAATGGGTGTCAATGCAACTTTCATTACTAAATTTCTTATCACATATACCACACTCAAACTTCTCTTCACCTGTGTCATTCATCCTGTGGTACTTGAAGTAGAACTCCGTTTTGAACTGCTTTCCACAATCCTGGCACTCGTATAACTTCTTGCCGTCATGCATACGGACGTGTATCCTCCAAGCTTGTGGTGCAGAGAATCTTCGTCCACACTCAAAACACTCGTATGCAATGGGCTGGACACTGTCATTCATTATCTCAAGCTACATTTGTTATATGTAAAGTTACAACACTGGATATAAAGCTATTTAATGAGTATTCACTGGGACAAGAAATGCATATTGATTCAACAAAATCAATATATAAAATTTTTTCTTTGGATTATACCAAAGGCATATTGGTATCTTTAACAACAAAAATAACTGCAAGCTGAGTTATGGTTGTACTTTTGTTTACAGAGTTGCAGAACAGTTTCTGAACTGCATGACCTGAATATTTAAAAAAATATTCATAATATTTGGGTAATAAAATATTCATATATCTAAAATAAAATGCAAAGTCATACTTTGGAAAAAAGGGTATAAAATGACTAGCCTATCTGAGCACACATATAACTGCAGAATTATGAACACATAAATAAATTTTCCAAGACAGTAATTACACCCTTTCTTGGACTAAGGGCAATAAATATAATCTAACAAAGAGAAAACAAGAATAAAATTCTATTCTACATGTAATTTGGTTTGGCAGGCCCGGTTGTGTGTTTTGGAAGCAAGTGTTTCATAAACATCAAGGAAACCATGGTGTTCTTTGGGGTCGAGGCTGCAGGCTGTCAGGGCAGTGGGTGTTCTTGCAGGCCCTTTCCATAGGTCTCTCTGTTAATGCTGCTCTTCCAGCCTTCTTGGTAGATGCCAACTGGAAAAAAGGAATCAAAAATAACTATATATATATATATCAAAACATTTACATAAGTATTCAAAAATATTACATGAAATACAGCCACATTGAGATAGACAGCACTGAATCTGTGAAGTTTCAAGTTAAAGAATAGTAATTTTCAGATGATAAAATGAAGTTTTCAATTCCGTATTACACCATAAGAAGAACTTTAGCATGACATGAAAAGTTTAATTTTTTTACTTTTCCCTCTCCAGAAATACTTGATTTCATAAAAAAAAGAATGAAAAAAAAAAAGTATTTGTCCATTATTACATAGAAACTTACAGAATAAGTTTATTTAAGAAATCTTGAGAAACCGAAACAATCTGCCCTTATGGCTCCATTACCATTACATTAGGTTTTATAATATAAGATCAATGATTTGTGCTGCATCAATGGCAATTAATATATTTAAGTTTAAAATATAACTCACTCATACTTGAAACTTTCGGTCATGCGAGATATGTATAAAGATTTTTCACTGAAGTGAAATTATAGGAAATATAGTTTCTGTAGTAAGTAATTACAAAGTCACACCTAGTCCCCCTAAATATTTTTTCCTGGGAACATAATAACAATCATGTATTTTCTACTTGCTCCACCCAGCTTTTATCAGGGAACAGTACCATACATTTCTTGCTATTTCAGAGGTTTTGATCAAGTTTTATTATCATTTTTTAAATAACTTCCCTTATAAAATATC